ATTTTCCTCAATGGTTTAGGATATTACACTGAACTTGGAGACAGGGAGGCTGCAGTGCAGTGCAAGCACACAGTCTCCTTGCCAGCTCTGCTACAAGAGCAGTAGCCATCAGCAGAGAAGACAGCTTCTACTGTCTTAAAATGCCATCCCAAACCAGTTGTCCAGCAGAACTACCAAGGCAATACAAAGTCATGACATCAGTATTAGATTCTAAACAGAAAGCCTTTTCTTTTACTTTTCCAAGAAGAGCTAACTCAGAGCTTCAACATGCAAAATTTTACTCAGTTGAAACTGCATATGTTTAATGTCAATATTATATTATATTTAAAGGGGTTTTTAGAACATTATTTAGATAGAGGTTAATTTATCAAACCCCTGGGGGAAAATAAAAAAAAAAAAAGCACAAAATTGTCAGTACAGAATGTATACTTTAAACCTGCAGTTTAATTATATACCCCAGAAGGACAAAGAATAACAACATTATTTACACCACTTAGATTTTATGCAGCATTGTCCTAGATGGACTGACAATGTAATGAATACAAAGTATTTTCATGCAGAAACAGAACAGACAACATTTTATCTAAAGGAAGTCTGCATTGGGCAAAGAGGAAGAAATAAGTGCTTCAGAGGGTACTGAGGAGTTGAATGAGGTCAGGCTTCCCATTGGAAGAATGGATGGAAGAAAAGGATAGAGGACATAACAAAACATTGCAAAACCACGAGCACATGTTGAAGGCAAACTTCACAAGAACATCAAGAAAAAAAAAAAAAAAAACCAACAAAACAGGATTATGTACCTTAAAAAATTAAATATGGATTATATTCTTACTGTGAGTAACCCGCTATACACATAAGAACAAAGAAATAAGAGGCAGAAATGGATGGAAAAATGAAATCGCACAAAAATAATTTGTCAAATTTTAAGCAACTCTATAAAGGAGGGCTGACGATAAAGTTTAATGTTAGTTTCATGGGAGAAGGTTATTCACATGACATGCAATTAAGCAAAGATTAAAGGCAGGAAAGATGCAAGCACCAGAAGTGTCTGTGGGCCATAAGGTTGGCTGAAGCATAACATGGCAAACTGGTAGTACGCAGCACTGGATTCTGCAAAGACAGCCTATAAAGAGGAGACAACATTGTAGGACAGAGAAGCTTGCCCAGAGTAAGGCAACTTGAAAGTATTATGGATTATTCACATATTCTTGCCAATTAAGTACATTTAGAAAATCAGATGACCATGTTCAGTTGAAAATGCAGAAAAAGATTGACAAATATGAAAAACTACTGAAAAGATTGAACAACACCTAGCACATGTGAAACAGAAGTATAGTGCCAATTTTCTTGTGGTGTGTACAAGAATCTGGTGATGGTGGTATAAAAAAGAGTGAATTAATAATAATTTGGCTGTTAAAACCTATACATCCTTCAGAAAACAGCAGGGAACCAGATCATTTCTCTTTCCCTTCCTCCCTGAGAACTGCGGAACTCCTGCCAAAGCATGTGCTTAGAATGGTGATTAAGATAATAAAACCATGTGTGTGGGAACTGTATAATGGTGGTGGTGGTGGAAATACAGTGCTCATTATGTCCTTCTGCCTCACACTCAGAAGCTCCTCAGCATTCTCAACATTACTGTGACAGCATGGTCTCATCTTTTCAAATGTTTACTGTCAGCTACCATTTTGACACACTGAAATATTATCACATAACGAATAAATGAAAAGAGATTATTTTATGGGATACAATCATTCTTTCTAAACTAATCTCAAGGGGTTGCTATAGGCAATAGTTGCAAAGTACTTCTTTAAAAATGAAGTTTTAAAACAGTTTTTATTTTATGATAACAATATAGGAATGTCACAATCTTTCTGCATGTTGAAGTTCATTAAAAGAAGAGGACTGAAGTCTTTCATGGAGCAACTTTGAAAATAGCATACAACGAGATTCAGTGTTCAGGAATGTCTGTGGATGGAATAATAGGATTACATCTACAAACTTCTGGTTCCTGAAAAAACTGTAAGAGCAAAGAAAAAAGGCCTTGGACTCTTCATGGATAGTTCTATGGAAAACATGATGCAACATGTACTGTCAGATAAAGAAAGCAAGTATTAGGATGCAAAAGGCAAATGAAAGAAAACTAAAATTCCATTAATGTAAAGTCATGGTTCACTATCATCTGGAATACTGCATTCAACTCTGGTCACTGCAGGTCAAAAAAATTTAGAAAACAAAGAATTCCAAGAAAAAAGAAGAAATTAATTAAGACATGAAAGGTTTTGGCAACCAAAAAGATTGAACAGACTTGGAACAGACAAATTATGAACCCAGATGTATTTTCTGTCCCTCTACAAAGACAAAGGAAAACAAACAAAATTTTAAAATACTATATTTTAAACTAGAAGATTTTGAGCACAACCCCTCCCCAAAAATTTATTAGCTCAAAATAACAGGCAGATTTAGAACATGGTAGGGTTTAAAGCAGATTAAATGTTTCAGAGGAAAACTTTTTCCTGAAATTTAGGCAAATTTTCAGGTTTCAGAAAAAGAATCCCAACATACATTAGGAACAAGGAAAATACTTGTCTGATTGGTGTTTTACTTCTGAAGTTGTATATTGCTGTTTCCAAAACATCTTTCAGGGACAACTGATGCAGGCCACTGGCCAGGGTGGAGTGCTGGTTTGATCCAGTCCCATAATTTCTTTGAGAGTGATGACCCTTAAAATAAGATTCGGGAACACCCTTGCAATCTCCAGTAATTAATTTATCAAGGAAGTATAGATGTTAACATCACGTTCCCCCACTAAACTATGTAGCTCTAAAAGACAGTGATGCAAAACTCAGTCTTCCGATGTCTGTAATCATTCAGTGGTTAGCTCCAGAAGTGTAGCGGGGAACGTTTGAGACATAGTCCCTACTTCTTCCTTGAAATATTTTTCCTCCTTCTCTATGCACACAAATGTACATATGCAAGTAAAAAAGCCACTATACAGTTCATTAAATAATGAAAACAGTCTGTGCAGCCTTCCCAGGCAGGCGCTGTGCATGGATTTTCTGAAGTAGTCAGAGGGATTTTTCTGAGAGGGGTGAAAGGTAGAAGTATTTTTATTATATAGCTGAATGACTGAATTGGGCCAGGTAGGGTCAGCCAGGTCAGTCTTAACAGCAGCAATAATGAACTGATAGACATGATTATTATTCACATCCTAAGAAGAAACCACAGTAGTTCAGATTCTGTAAAGTTCAAAAACACAGGTCAGATATCAAGAAGCCGTGAGATTGCCTAAAAATTCTACTTTAACTTTTAAAATCTTATTGCGGAGGCCTGTTTTCAAATTTTCAAGATCTTACGTACAATAGGATGGATGTTCGGGACACCTCTTCCGTTTCACTTCAGATATCTGTTCCCCTCACCTTTCTTATTCTAAAGACTTAACATCATCTTACATCAAGGTGCTCACAAGGTTTTTATTCTGAATACTTTCTTCAACTCATTTACTCCTAGCCAGACCTTCCTTACCAGGTTGTTGGCACAGTTACTTTCCCACTATTTCCCCAAAGGGAACTCCCAGCTTCCCTTCCAAAACACTGCCTCCACCATCCCCAGTGTAGAGAGATGCCCACGTTACTGAGTCCTTGCCCATCTTGTCAGGAAGCTCAGCTTTTGCTTTTGTTCCTCCCCTGCACAGAAGACAGTACAGCAGTAACTTTCTTTCTGCACCCACACAACCTCTCAGCCACATTGCTCTTGAAGCCTGCAGGCCCTAGAGTGCCTTTGCTATGGCTCTGCTCTACAGTCAGGACATGGTTGTACTTTTTGTAAATGTTTCTGCTGCATATGACATGCCACACATGCTCTTCCACCCACAGGTACACAGTATTAACATGATGACTATACCACAGATCCCAATCAACCACCTTACTTTTGCCTTCTCAGATTACACTCTGAGGATACAGCTTTAGCACAATATGTATTATGGGTGGTATAGGTTGATGATCTTTCAGGAAAAGATACGGTTCTCTAATTGGGAGTCTGATGAATAAAGTGACTGAAGGCGAGTGTCATGGTTTAACTCCAGTAGGCAGCTCAGCCCCACACAGGTGCTCGCTTACTCCCCCAACAATGGGATGAGGGAGAGAATTGGAAGGGTAGAAGTGAGAAAACTCATGGGTTGAGATAAAGACAGTTTAATAAGGAAAGAAAAAGGTGTGTGCACAAGCAAAGCAAAATAAGGAATTCATTCACCACTTCCCATGGTCAGGCAGGTGCTCAGCCATCTCCAGGACAGCCCGGCTCCATCACACGTAACGGTTATTTGGGAAGACAAATGCCATCACTCCAAATGATGTCCCCCCCCCCCCCTTCTTCTTCTTCTCCCAGCTTTCATTGCTGAGCATGACATCATATGGTACAGCATATCCCTTTGGTCAGTTGGGGTCAGCTGTCCCGGCTGTGTCCTCTCCCAGCTTCTTGTGCAGCCCCAGCCTACTCGCTGGTGGGGTGGGGTGAGAAGCATAAAAGGCCTTGGCTCTGTGTGAGCACTGCTCAGCAGTAATGAAAACACCCCTGTATTATCAACACTGCTTTCAGCACAAACCTAAAACATAGCCCCGTATTACCTACTATGAAGAAAAATAACTCTATCTCAACCACAACCAGCATAGCAAACAACCCTGAAGGCAACAGGGTTTATCACCTGCAGTGAAAAGCCACTCACTTGTATAAAAGCAAGTATTCATGAACGCTTTTAAAACCAACTCAGAATGCACTTTTAACTATGGATTATGAGTAGTACATACAAAACTAACTCATAAGAGAACAAAAAGGTCTTAAATATTTTCATATACATGCATATTCCTTTTATATTTGAATTTGAATGTGCTTTCTAAAATTCCTACCCTATATAATGCATTAATTTATACAAATAACAAAAATGAATACATAGGAAAAAACGGTTTTCTGCAAGTTCATCAAAAAAAAGTCAGACTACGCACATTTCAGTAATGGTTTCTGGAAGGTTCGTTGGGATCTCAGTAAGGCCTTTCCCACGACAGTCCACGATGTTGTTACTGCAGGTGCATGCAGCAGGGCAATGCAAGACACTGCAGGACGGGGCCATGAAAGATTGGTGACCTGCAAAGGAAAAGAGTTTCTCCTAAAATTGCACAATACTGTCAAACAGTAGTCCAGTTTACCTCAACAGTGAAACAACACATTTTACACTTCCTTGAAAAATTTAGAGTCAGATCTTCTAAAATAAACATTGTAGGCTATCAAGACTTTTGAACTGCATTAATTTAAATACCCAGTTAATATCAACACGTTGATAAAATACTGAGAGGTGGAAGACAAATGCTCAACTACTGTACTAGCATTATAACATTTTTCAACTTCTTTAGCAAGTTGCATTCAAAATCATCTTGTTAATGAAGACTAAGTGTGATCCATTTTTCAGGTATATTTTATTTATTCTGTAGTTTTGAAAAATAATTACTGATTTATTTAGTTTTCAAAATTTTGTGTAGTCTTAAAAATACATGCCAATAGAAATGCATGATCCTCGCTACAAAAACTGAAGGTGTCCAGCTAGTTGTGTTCTATTCTGCTAATACTTATTTGAGTATAGTCCTTCAGTTATATATCACTTACAGACAGTTTTGGAGTTAGGACATTTTCATTCAATCACACAAAAATAAATAAAAGCTTTGACTTTACAGCTCATACTCTCAGTCTCTGTGTTAGCTCAGCAGATTTCTTCCTCCCACAGTCTACCATTCTTAGTAACTCAGGTGGCTAATTTATGACCTTCCCTCCCCCCTTCCCCCAGTTCTTGGGCTATATGTTAAACTCAACATTTATAATTGCATTTAAACATAATCACTTCATATTTAAGTTTGGTTTAGAATGTTAACACCTCATTATATTTTCCCACAAATTGATAGATTGCACATTTTATAATATATTAATGCACTCATTTTTGTATAGATTTAATGATACAGAATTGCTGTTTTGTAATGATACAGAAAGGCACAAAGGGATGAGAAAGGCATGAAGCCCTCTTTTTCTTTCTTTTATTTATTAGGGTAAAAAAAGCTAGAGACTGCTTTGAAATTCTCAGGGAAAAAAAAATTGACTATGAAACTGTAACTTAATCTAAGATCTCTCTCACTATATTTAATGTCATATATTAACACAGGAAGGGTACACTGATAATGTAAGTTGCAGCCAGTGCTGCTCCTACTTCAAATAACTGCTCATGCCTTAAATTACTGAAAAGGTTAGTCTTTTGAGATAGTAGTTTACAGTACAATAGTTTGATTTCACATTTATGTACGAGTTCCAAAAGCACAAACAGCTGCCAAAACTAATAACACATACTACTACTTTATACTAACAGGCAGGAGTTATTTCACCTGCCTCTATTAAACAAAAATAGAGTGATTCAGGGAAAAAACATGGTTATTCTCCTTCCTCAAAATTTGCATTATAAAACTGTTCTTGACACTTGGGCTCTGCAGCCATACAGTTTTCACATAAGATACATGAAATGATCTTCTTAGGAGCCCTTATAAGTGTACATAAAGGTAATGGTGAGAATACTGTTAACATGTGCATTGTAAAAATGGCAGTGCCTTTACAGTTTGATGTCAGAGATGGTTTAATAAGGACAAAATATTGTGATCGCCATAAAACTCTTTTAAAAGCAGAGATCTATTCAAATTTTGGCTTATCTGGAAATAGGCTTCTGGGGCTCTGCAGACAATCAACCAGTAGAAACAACCCTGTTGATTCACTGAAATGACAGATAGTGAAATTCCAGCTAGTTCGTAATGTTTTTGAGGAAACTTGACACAGTAAAAGTTTGCAGAAAATTTTCAATCTGAGTCTAAAAATATTTAAATAAGAAATATAAACTTGCCTTCTTCCTCATCTAGAAGATATGAATAAAGGAAAAAAATTGAATAGAGAAAATGTGATTAGTAACGAAATGTTAGTCATTTCATTTCATATCAGAAAATAATGTGATGCACTAAAGCATACCGATAACATTCAGAAAGTTACTTAGGGATTCAAAATATTACTTAAACTGCAGAAAATAACAACAAGAAAAAGCAACAACCTGTAAAGTTAAAAAAGACTAATTCCTTGTTACTAAAGGCCTTATGTTCTCAGTCAGTTCACCTTTCATTTAATTTTCTGCATCTCTCCCCCATAATTATACTTTTAGAAGGCTATATAATCTATGTGAATGCAGCATTTACACAAGATTTCTAAGGACAGAAGCACACACACCCCGCACCCCACCAAAATACAAATAGTGATTAAAATGATTAGTTTATTTTTTAATAAACATTAATGCTTGCATTATGCAACAGCTAGCAAAAGCCAATGTGCAGCACTAGCAACCACTGCTGAGCTGTTGGTAGGCATGTTTTAAAACAGAACGCTGTGAACGAATCTGTTTCCCTTACCACTGCAGACAAACTCCCGTTTTTGGACCTCTGCTACGTTGTGTCCCCGGAGGTGGGATGGCCCCATGCACTGGGTGTAGAGGCCGACCCGTGGCCGCTGCCGCAGCCAGTCGGACAGCCAGGCCAGGTGGCAATCACAGTAGAGGTTGTTGGAGTGAAGACGACTGCATGGAAAGAAACACATCAATACCTTTAAATTAGGAAGAACAAACAGAAAAGCAACCAACTACCCCAACCCCCCCTTCAGCAAGCAAATATGCTGAGTTATTAATAAAAATTGTTAATGAGGAATCAATTTTTCATGTTTTTCATTGAAAGTCTGGGAGTTAAATGTTAATAAATAAAACTATACAAGCAGGAAAAATACCTTTTATTTGTGGTCTAATTAACTGGAAGAAAATAGAAGGCTTCCTAATAAAGTAACCTATCTGTATTTTCTTTTTTCTTGTCTAAAAGAAATAAGTAAATATAAAAGAGCTTGAAAGCTACCGTGGGACTCTTTAGTCCAGATCTGTACAAATAGTGAATAAGACAAAAATGTCTCAAGTAAATTGCTCTATAGTGATAATATACTGTCAGAAAAAAAAAAGAGTTAATAAAAGATTTGGTTTCCAATTAGATATATCTGTAAGTCTGGCCATTATTAGTCTCTATAGAAACGGCCTGCAAAATCCCTTTAACAGGTCATATTCATTTTCTGCTGAACAAGACAGAGTAATAACTCAATATAAACCACCTTTTTTCACATCCCTTTTCTGATTTCCTCTCTTTTTGTTTAATCACAGAAAGGGGGATTAACTGCTTTTGGCTCCTGGGGACCTACGTTCTAAGCAATGCCTGAAATTAAAAGACCAAATGGCAGCAAGCGATGGAATTAAGTAAGTTGCCTCTCTGTTGGCAAGGTCCAACACAAGACCATGGCTCCTTGCCAAGTGGCAAAAAGCACTTTGCCATTGATAAAATATCAGACAAATGTATTAACTAAATTAGGTAAATTACTTTTCTCTGGCTCTTTCTTTTCTCTGTTGCTTACATTTTTTCAAACTACAGAAAAGGATGTCCACAGCTACAAATTAAATCCTTACTCAGAATCATCCATAACAGAGTAATGTCATTTTGGTCCTTTTTAGCTGATGTGCTCAATACTAACTACGTAACTGGAAAGGAAGTGCAAGAAATTCAGAATTTAGACAGGAGCCTCATTAATCCATTAAAAAAAAAAAATCTGTAAAGCAACATGAAATGTGTAACAAACATAAAAGATTTTCACTAACTCACTTTTTTTTTTTTTTTTTTTTTTTTTTTTTTTCCCCATAAATGATTACAAATTAAAGGCAATGTATTTTCCTGTACTAATTCTTGGGTGGGTGCTTTGCAAATATAGCTCACAATACAGCACACTCATTCAGTACAATCTGTGGCCAGCTGTAGGCAAGAACACCATTGCAAATCAGAACTAATGCCACTGAAATCAATACAGTTATACAAGCATATTCTGACTGCAAATGGGATGTTACAGCTATAATCTAGGACTCTGACTGTCCATTTTCTTTTGTTTCTAAAATAAATTTTCAAAAGATGAAATATCCCACCAAGAAAGTGTAAATGTTGCTAATTTGTTTCACTGTAATTTGTGGTTCAGAATATAAACTATATTTGAAGGTTTGAGAGAGGTATAAACGTCCATGCTTTCAAGTCTCAGACCAAAAGAATGGAATGAAATTCTATTCTCAAAATATAACCGAGGCCACCAAAAGCCCGTAGTCAGCACTATTTAAGTACTCTTGTATTTGTCCAAGCAAGAATAGTTACAGTTCTGTTATGATATCAACAGAACTACTCACCTGTATGAAGTTTCTTCAGTTACAAATGGTATGTTAACTCGAGTGAATAGACTTACTGATTTCAAAACATTTGTGCAACACAACATGCACAAAAGAAAATGGACAAGCTCTTTGTAAAAGTAGTTCTTTAACAGTATAGAGACACTCTTGAACTCTGATAGAATCATCCCATTCATTTCTGATTCCTATTTCACTGGAAAATCTGTTTCAAAGAGAGTCTCAGGACCAAACTTTCAAATATTCTGGTTTTGCCACTCAACACAATATACAGTTATTTTTAGTTCAGTATAAATAAACAAAAGAAATAACCCCAAACTGTATCACTTGCATACACACTCTTTTCATGATGTTTTGGTTCAGAAGGCTGAAGTGTTCTGTGAAAGTCATAACCTCTAAAAACGGGGACCTTATTGTAAATGCTGACACAACTTTAATTGTAATAGCATTACCGGGTGATGCTATAATTTCATGTTACAAAGAATGTTGGAGAGCCAGTTTAGTTTAATTAGGTCTGCTAGCAGTACAGTAATAAAAGCATAAAGATTTCCCATTTATCACATCTGACAGCCAATCAAAGATTCTTCCATGTTCTTAAATGAAATGTGACCCATTCAATAGCTCAAAGTAAAACAAATTTTTGACTTTCAAAACCCATCAATTTCTTTCTCTATACAGCTGTAACATATAAAAGAGAATCCCCCCGCCCTATTTTTTTTTGTTAGAAGGTGAAGCTTTTCTGTGACTGAATACAGCACTATGGAAAACTCAGTTGAGAAAAGCCCATGAAACCATTATCATAGACATATTCATCCCACATCCTAAAAGAGCTGATGGAAAAGGATACAACTGCTTCTTTATCTCCTGAGTCCCAAGTATCAGCTTTGGGGTCACTTGTTTGCTTTACCTTACAGAATTAGGCTCCGTATACACACACACACACAGACTTTACACTCCTCAACCTCACAATACTTCAGTACTTTTTAAATAGATCTTACGTTTCTTTGCCTGTATACGTATTTATAGACCATGGACAAAAATTGATAGAGGTAAAAATTATATACTGGACTGATAAAAATGGCAGCTGTTTTTGTGGGACTACTTACAATGTTCTGAGTTTGGGCATATGGTTGAAACTTGCCACAGACAGTCGAGTGATGTTGTTATTGTTGAGAGTGCTGCAAAGTCAAGATGAGACATATTAACATGTTACATCTATGTCACATTTACTACACTTTTAAAAAAGGAATAGCTAATGAAGATCATCATGTACTGTTTTTAGGGATGGGTATCGGGTTAAAAACCCTATGCTTGTAGGTATACTTTTCCTCCCTGTTCAGTCCCTGGTAAAACATCGTGGTTTGACCATTCAATTAATAATCCTAAATAAATTTAGGTCCCAATAACCTGTGATTCACTCAAACTCATTCCACCAATGTTGAGAACATCTATGGTGTTAAAGCTAAGCTTGTCACCTGGATGTAAAAAAGAGAGTTCTTGGAGAAAAAGCCTTGATTCTAGGACTCTGTTTTCTCTTTCTAGATTCTGAGAGTCTGTACTTTTGACAGAGAATACAAGATCTGCCTGTTTTTTCAAGAATTTTAGGAAAATATTAACTCTGGGCTGCAATTAGGTTTTCTGTGGAACAGTTGCTATAGATGATCCAGAGCTGCATGTACAATAGAAGAGTTTCTGTTATACAGTGGAAAGATTTGGGAATTTTAATACTTTAGCAAACCAGTAATTTAAATTTTAGACAAGGTGCCTGGAACTTGAGATAGGAACTAGGAACAAATCTTAGCCAGTTGTTGGCTAGCACAGACACATCATACTCAGTAAGCGTAGTTTGTAAAGATAATGAAACTTTATGAACTATACTGCAGTTAAATATTGGTTTTAGGCTGCAAATAAAATGCAAACAAGCTTGACTCCAAAACAAGAAAACAAGCTATAGAATTTACAGTTTTCACTTAGAGATTACTCATTTGAGCAGAATGAGAATGTGCTCTGGGATTTCAAACACAGAACTATGGCACTAACAAATAATAGTTCCCACTAACGAAACTTTTTTCCCCTTTTGAAATACAGAATGCTTTACTTTTTCCTTTTCTGTTTTTTGTTTGTTTGGTTGGTTGGTTTGGTTTTTTTGTTTGTTTGTTTGGGTTTTTTTAATCACAAAGTATAATTTGTGCTCATTCTGAATAAAGTTTTAAATACTTTCTGATCCTGAAACACAGAAAGGTAAATTCATGGCACTCTGAACAGGATCAGGCTATACACTTCTGCATTAACCAAGCAACTAATTACTGGTGCAGTGTGCTGCATTTTACCTTTGTGTGCTTACTCATTCCACATCTTAAGTGTTTTCTTCACTGTGTATGAGGGATTTCCCCTGTGTGTTCTAAGGGCTACATAAACAAAGATGAGAATAACCAAAAGAAGAAGAAAAAGGGAAAATCATGACCTTTTTCAAAACAGAACAAAAGTGAAACAACAAAAAATGGCCAAGTGGGTACATCTGTAAAAGGTGTCTTATCGAATAAATGACAATCAGTAAATCTTGCAGGATTTTCTTACAGTGTCCACATGGTAAATGACAGTTCCCATAGTTCTTTCTGCATAACTTCTCAAAAGATTTTAAAATCATAAATTTTCAATGAAGGGAATTCAAATCAGTACATACTCTATAGCTGTTAAGCTGTTTATACAAGGTGTATCTACAAATGATTTAATTTTCAGTCTCAGATGTTTGATGTTTGCCTTGCTATTTTATATACATGAGCTATTAATTTAATTTTGAAAGGGTACAGGAAAGCATCAGGAGTAGACGTAAGGGATACATAAGGAATTAACTAATTTTCATACCTATTTCTATCTAACAATGAAAATATTTGATTTCATTAAAGAGATGTATTTAAAAAAAGTTGGCTCAATAGTTTTACCTAAGCATTACATACTATTGCAAAAGTGTGATGACTGAATGACATTTTTTTAATTTTGTAGAGACATTAATTCTTTTAATATGACAGAACTAAATATCTTCTGATAGTCTGTTTCCCCAGTATGGCAGATTTTCTCTTAATTGAAAAAAAAAAAAAAAAAAAAGAAGAAAAAATAGGAGAAAAAGGAAAAATAAAATTTCAGAGAAATTCACAGGGAGGATTATACCTATAATTGCTTTCATCTTTCAGAATTGTTCAGATTTCATGTTCATTTTGTATCTTTAACACTAACAGCCTCTAATATTGTGCAATTATTTAACCAATATGTATGACCTGTTACTTTGGTAAACATTTCAAACTGTCACTAAGCAGGATTGCAACCTATTTAAAAGCTTTATCACATACTTGTAGTTTGAAGTAATCTACACATTCTGTGCTTAGAATAATTAACTCCAAATGAAAGTAAATATGTGGTCTTATTTGCTACTCAGTACATATACAGTAAGGCCTGATCTATGTATCTTTCATTCTTTAAGCCATATTGGAAACAAAGGTGAATTAGATACAAAATCTTCAGTACTGTTTGATATATCTACCTCAATTTTTTTAAAACTCAATCTTTACATCATTGCTTATCACATATTTCAAGATAGTGAACATTTAGTTGTATATTTGAACAATGTTAATAGTCTATGTATATTCATTCACAAAATTCTAACTACCTACTTTTTCAGCAGACATTTTAACAGGTTTTTTCCTTCTTTGCATTCATTGAAATTGATGTGAAAATTTTACCACTGACTTCAACTGGTTTTAGAACACTAAAAATTGCAAGCATTAAAAATGCAAAAAAAATTTGATTTTTAAAAATATACATTTAACATTTTCACTTTTAAAGAAAGGTTTGTATTAACTACCATAATAACTAGGTTAAGTCATCACTGGAAAAATTGTTCTGTCATATGTATCAGTTCCAGAGATAAAAATCTCACAGAACATGAAGTTTACCAACAGACAACCAACAATTCATCAACTTCACTATTAGATGTAATACTGAACCTACAGTGCATTTTCCATGGCTTTAAAACAGAAAGTTAACAATAGGCTTGTTATTCTACGATTATAAAGTTAAAGAAAAAAAAAAAAAAAAAAAAAAAAAAGAGCGGTCAGATTCATTCATTCATATGTAAGATCAAGTATTGCTTAATAATAAAAAGCTTTAACAGCAGCATTTCACATTTTCTTTTGTTTCTTGGACATATAGACACCATCTATTGTCAGAGAAGCTTCTTTACTTCTGAATCTTAAAAATAACCCACTAAAAACCACAACAAAAACCCCCTTCCTTAACCTCCTCAAGCTGTTGCGATTTACCAAGTGTGATTCAAACTAACATGAAGTAACTCAATGTTACACAAAGTCTTTCACTTCTTTTAACCTAGAAAGCCCAGAAAAAATGTGACATTTTGATTGACAGAGAAAATATTTCAGGAATGTGTCCTGTGCCTCAGATTTTTTGAGAACTGAGGCACTTTGCTCGTTACAGTAACTATTTTCAGGTCAGGGGTCACTGATGATAATTTTGTTACCTTTAACCTCACTGATGGCCACTTTTGAGACAGTGAGGAAAAAGTATGCAGAAGAGTATTGCAATACTAACCTTCAGTGACATAAATAAGAAATTTTTCTACACATATATATATTTATACAGATAAAATTTGTTAAAAAGAGCAATTAATGTGGACATGCTGAACATCTTAACATGTAACAGTAGTGTTCAATAGAAAAGTGCCTCTTTGAAAAACAACCACATAGTAAAATATAAATAGTACATTGTTCCTTAAACTGAGTCTGAAACATCAAACAGATGTCAGAGGATACAACAAAGGCAATCCTGAAAATGTTCAGCGCTTTAACAGTGATGGATAATTTGCAAAGTTAATTGGATTCATTAATACTGCCACCCCCATTTTAAAAGGAAATATATTATTTTCTTACAGTATCTGCCATCTGCTTTTTTTTTTTTTCTTTTTTTTTTTTTTTTTTAATGGCTGTCTTGCAGAGTAAACGAATATCTCTGCCTCTCCACACCTTCTTACCGTTTTATAGCACATTGCAGTGGATTATTTTAAGACATCTTTTCACTAGACCATCCTGACACCAGGCTGCAGCTGGTAGATAAGCTTCTACATTAGTACTCCCCAGATACTGAGCTCTTGCTACAAGTAAGAGATACAGGAATACTTACAGCACTTCCAGGTCGCGCAGAGCCCTAAATGCCCCATCTTCAATACAGCTGATCTGGTTGTAATCCAGTTGCCTGTTAAACAGATTAGGAAGGTATTTGTAAGGGAGATGAGTGCTGGCAGCATCAGGTGTAAAGAAAGCCTCCTGAAGGGCCAGCAGATCTAGGCCGTGCTAACTGAAACCCTCTCGCAAATACGCTCGTACGCTTGAGACTGTCACACAGCATGCTGGCCTGGATGCTGCCACAGAAATCCCTTTTTGTTCTGAACTGTCTGCGCAAAACAGCAGCGCTGGGAAAGCTCCAGTAAATAATAACTGCACCTTATATTAAATGCCAAAGGAATGCAATTTCATTACATCAAGAAAAGCTATCCATTAAAAGCTCTCAGCGTCATCTTGCTGAAACAATTTCATTAAGGTAAAGGACGGTAAATCACTTAATGTCACACGCATCCCCTCGGTGACCTAACAGAATCCATTTATCAGAGCAGCCCAGCTGCATGTTAATTCCACCCGCCGCGGCAGGGACTGGCGAGAACCACTTTTAGGGGTCTCTCTGCGTGCGTGCATGCCTGGACTGGGTGGAAGGTACAGGGGGGGGTGTGGGATTTAGAATAATTACCTTCTAGAGTATTTCTACAGGTAGAAATAATACTGTCCAAGGTCTTTACATACTTGGTTACTTATCTCCTTTAATTCCGCTCCAAATGAAACTAGTATTTCTGCTGTAACCTTCAGTCAGTGGTTTTCTACGTACTTGGTGCTCTCTGCAATTACGTGCACATAGGATGTTGTAACCGAGCACTTGAATTCTGGACTTAAAACTCAGCAATCCATCCCATACATTATTAATCTTTAAGTATTAAGTTATGAAAAATTTATATTCATTTCTCTGAAGAATATTATTACCTTTTCAATTCAAAACATTGATACAGTGCATACTGCCCAATTAAAAAAAGTCTGCTGAAATTAACAACGATGAAAATACAAAATCCCAGTTTCTCTGATGATAAAAGCTTTCCCTATGAATACTTCCACATGTCTTACGCACTTCAGGGCATGACTTGCAAAGCAAAGATGATACAAACCTCACCTTAACCAACCAGAAGATCTTTTCCAAGCCGGTAACTTATCAGTGTTAGGCAATATATATGAGTAAATGCATGTGAAAAATACTAAGAAAGTGAACAAAATAGAAATGAACTCTGCCCTTCCTTCTTCAATTATATATTAGCTAGCAGGGCTAATGAGGCTTTTACTAAAGCATTTTCTATGATTCTTCTGAATCTATGATAACATTTTACTTTATAAATAAATTATCACACCCACTGTTGAATGCAATGTACCAAGTTCTATAAAGTTCTTCTAGTTTTATCCATATTTTTAATCTGAATTACTACTACACGGGAATAAAATATCATCATAACTGTAACAGCGTCTGTGTTTCTGTGTACTGAAAGCTAAATGCAAACTATGATTTCCTGAATATGATCTTTAATCATTTTGGTGCAACGTTACAGCACCAGTGCTGCAGTGTTGGAATATTTAAGCCTACTTTCTCATGCTTCTTCAATTTTTACTAATGAATTTCATTTAACAATTAAGTTAATAGCCTTTTTATTTTAAAGAGGTAAAATATATACACAGTACAATTCTCTAACCTCTTGAACAATTTATCAAAGCTGTTTGAATTAGTACAATGGCATGAAATGTTACCCTTGACACAATACAAAAGAGAAATTGTTTCCAGACAAATTGGCAAAATCTTTTAATGCCATCAAATTTGCCTAATGCAGTCTGCAGGTTAATCTGTAAAAGGGTAAGCTGTATGTTTGCCCATATCTTATTATCCTTAGATGTCAACGTATAAATCAGTGCTGACACAGCTTCTTCTAAATCATCCATATTATACACAAAGGAAAATCTTTTAACAGTAGAGAAAGCACTTGAGCAAATCTTGTCCTACACAAACTGAAAGGCAGATTTCTTCCACTAGACTGGCAGCAGTTGTGGTGCACCCAAAAACTTTTGGACTCCTTCCTTTAATGAGTCACCATGACCACTACCTTAGCGAAGGGTGAGTTGTTTTCATTCAGATCTTCTTACCAAAAGGATTATTTTGTTTGCACTGAACTAATTAGTTGGTTTTGATTTGTGGGAAGGGAATTTTGCAGGTGGGAGAGGAGAAATATTTCGTAGTTTTATAAATTATTGTCTTTGAAAGATAATACCGTCTTTATGTTGTAGATGATCTTCCATCAGTTATAACCATGATATAAAAGGACCAGACAAACACCAGGAAGAACAACTGGCGTGATAACTTTTTAAACTATGATACAATGTTGAAGACTGTGTGCCTGGTTTGAATAGCAATTTATGGTATTTGTGTTAAGGCAAAGATATCCACTGCATATATAATCCAAACAGAAAGATAGACGATATTTCAGCACCAGTATATTGTTAATTTATGATGTCCATTTAATAGATATACTGAAGCATTGTGAATTATTATGTCAAAGTTTGGTTCCTGATAGCAAGCTGTGTGAGCACTATGACTTAAGACATAAGCAAGACATAATACAAAAAAAAAGGGGACATACTTCTCTAATATTATTTTTTATAATTTGGTTTTAGCATAACTTTCAAAACCACACATAAAAATTTATGATACTATAATGAAACTTTCCTCACCATAAAATTATTGAGCATACCAATAACCCTAATTCCATTTTAGAAAGCGTTTTCTTTTTTTCCCCCAAGAGCTTCTTTTCTTCTTTTCAAATTATTAAAACACCGTGAGAACAGAAACTGATCAAATATGGATAAGCAACTCTGGCCCACCCTCATCCTTCCCCTCTCCCCAGTTTCTATTCATCATCTTCCTCCCTGCCCCATCTCCATGTTGGATCTTTTCCTTGTGAGATCTCTTCAACCCTTTGGAAAATCACTATTCCTTTCTGGCCCCCTTTCCACAAAGCAGTTGATTACCTTTAAAAGTGCCATTCCAGTGACGCTCACAAAACGCCAAACAACAGCTGTCACATACAAAATCTTTCCATTGTCACAGAGAATTAATTAAGTTTTGCACCCATATCTGCAGCATTACCTGGGTAATTCATATACTTACTAATCTACTGCTATTTAAAATGTTAATGTTTATGTGAGTCCAGCTATAAGAACTAGTAAGAACTAAATAAAAATCATTCAACTAATAAGAAAATGTCTGCTTTAAGATGTTTTTTATTTATTGCTTTTGCTGATATATCCTACACTATATAAACATGTTGGAAACTTATATTTTCTTCCCTTTTAGCATATGTTGTCTACTAGATAATGATAAATAAATACCTAAAAATAAATCTTGTTATCCTACAAGAAGAGCATTTAATGAGTAACAGAAGATGTTGCATACATTTGAAAACTACTACCCTCATACAGAAAAAACTGTTATCTGACTCTGACAAAGAAAACTTCCTTTACTCATTCCTAGAGGCTGTGTTAAAAGTTGTGACAATTTCAGTCAACTTGTCTGCTTTACTCTCCTGCTCTTCATGGCTTGAGAACACTTTGTGGTTCTGTGCAAGAGAGGTACTGTGCAGCTTTACCTACTCCTTTGTTCAGAAACAATTACATTCTTCTCATGTATAAGCTTAATGGTAAACATTGCTTAAGAAGTCATCAGGAAAAGTTACAAGTCTTTCTATATCCCTACAGTACCTTCCTCCCCAGTAAAACATTTAGAAAAACTTTCTAGTTTTAGCATATGGTATGCTGGATTTTAATCATTAAAATTTTTCCTTAAGAAAAGAACAGAGTGCATGATATTTATCACTGCAGTACAATCTTTGGAAACAGTCACTGTTTTTAATGTCTCATATATTTTTTTTTACAACAGAATGGAGTTATGTTTCCTATTTCTCAATTCCCTTCTCAATTTCAATAGGAATCAATAATTTCAGATGCATTAGTTAAGAAAGATGTAACAAAATCATGTAAGAATTTATTCTAACTTTTTATCAAACTTCAGAGAACTGTTTGTTTCCAATGACTATTACTATATATTGTGATTATTCTTTCATTTGGAAGTGTTGTTTTTTTTTTTTTTTTTTTTCTACTTGCTGTTTATTTTGCTAAAGTAGTTCATTTTTTTCTTTGCTAAATTTCCCCTGTAAAACACTGTGAATGATTATTTTTGCAGAGAGAAAATATATTCCTGTTCTAGCATGAAAGCCATTTTAAGCACATATCCCATGAAAGCTCTGTTAGAGTAGTTTATTTAAGTATTAATTAGAAAAGCTTCATCTGTAGAACTATTTCTACTTATTCACTCTACATATTAACAAAACTCCTCCCAAGTCTCTGCAACATCATTATGTCTCCCTGTTTAGTAAAGCAGAGTCAGTCTCACTTTCCAAAGTAGTGTAGATACGAAAGGGCCTAAAGACTCCTGAGAGTCCAACTATCTTTTCCATGAGACTTCAACACTGAATGAAAGCATAAACTGATTTCCTTTAAAATTCAAATTCTCAAAAACTATATGCATTATTTTCAGTATTTGACACAGCCAAATAAAATTTAAAGATAAAATTGAATCCAAGTCTTCCTACAACAGTTTATCAAGTCAGATCAAAATAATCTTCTATCTCAATTTGCCTTGTATTATCACAGAAAAACCTATGGGAAACTGCATAAACCACAGTGACATTTGGTACATTTCCTAGTAAAAGCAAAGTCCACATTTTTCATTAGGGTAAATTCAGACACCATGTAAAATTTTGCATAAGTATTGGCACTTACCTTAGCTGCTGAAACCAAACTTAATTCAGCTACCTAGGTTTTATTTATCTAACATTTATTGTCACTCAAATAATTACCTATTTCTGATAGATTTTTAGATTCTACCTATTTTAGACTTTTCCTCAATGGTCCAACTGCCAAAAAAAGACTTGAAAGGAAGCTCTTGATTCACATTTAGAGATTTCTGATTTGAAACTCATCTTCAAAGGCAAATACTCTGCTTGATTTAAAACATAATTGACTTTAATATTTCATAAGAGAGGTAGTTGATAAAAA